CCCCAAAACCCCAAAACCCCAAAACCCCAAAACCCCATTTAGTAGCTAACTTATTTAAAGCCTTCAATTAATAAAATTAAAATGAATCCGAAGATGAATCCGGTTGTCAAGCAGAAGTCAGTAACCCTTATCAGCATTCCAGAGGATATTTACTTGTAAGCACTAGTTTCACCAGTTTAGCTTGATAGACCATGAACAAAACTTGCATAGAGAAGACTCATCTGAGATAGGAGAGATAGAAGTTCTTGACGATAAGCATCTGTCCTTTGCTTTCTACCCATCTGCGTTTACTTCCCTTTTCGCCAAAGCCCCTGTGGATAGAATTCAGACTGAGTTTACAGCCAAAATTACTGATATCTCCAATAGCAATAAGTTCATCATGACTGAAGGCAATGTAAGTTTCTACTGATTTTTGCTAAGATTTATATAGGAGCCACCGACTGACCAAGAAGGTCCCGGTGTTGGAGAAGAGCCTGCAGATGAAGGGATATATGTCAGAGCTCAGTCTAGAGTCAACTTCACTGCTAATTTGATACCCAACGCTCTCTCAAATTTCAGCAAGTATTCCTCCAATGGTAAGGAGCACAGCCTGATTTTTAGATCCTGTGAGCAGCTATGGAACTTGCCGTGATGGAGTCATTAAAGAGCATGTAGATGGATATGCAGATGTCAAGAATGTTCTCTTCAGCACAGAGTCAACTGAAATGATCAGATATGGAATGAATGTCAATGACAGAAACCTTATGAATAAGCACAGAATTGGCAAGAAGATAGTGATGGACGACACTGTTCTCACTCGAGAAATCCTGACCTTGTTCAAAACTAAGGATCAGTATAAACTTAAAGAAATAGCATTCTTGCTCCAGCAGTCAGAAAATAGAGTCAGAAGATGCCTTAAAACTGTTGCTATGCCGATATCTAATGGAATCAAAGATTACATATGGGAGCTGAAAGAGATATTTAAAAATGAGGAGACTTTGTAATGATGCTGACTTTGTGTATCTTCTAAATTTCAGCAAGTTATTCAATATTATTTGGTCTATTAGGGGTTTTGGGGTTTTGGGGTTTTGGGGTTTTGGGGTTTTGGGGTTTT